CCTCCATGTCCTCCTCCTCCTCCTCCTCCTCATCCTCCTCCCTTTCTTCTTAATCCTCTTCCTCTTTTTTCGGTTCTATTTTGTGTGTGTTTTGTTTTTCCAATAAAAGTTATACGGCACTTGCAACACAATGACGCCAAATAAGTAAAGGTATGATAAGGACGTAAGATAATCATTACTAATTACAATTTACAGTCAGGACAAAATACTAATATTAATTGTCGATGTCCCCCACATCACACAGTTCCTGTATATAATCATTAATAGTAATTACAATTTACAGTAAGGACAAATATTAATATTGATTGTTGATATCTCCCACCACACTACACAGCTCCTGTAGATAATCATTAATTGCAATTTACTATCAGGACAAATATTAATATTAATATTAATTCTTTAATATCCCCACACTCCACAGCTCTGTAGATAATCATTAATTACGATTTACAGTCAGGACAAAATATTAATATTTATGGTCGTTATCCCCACACTACTCAGTTCCTGTATATAATCATTAATAATAATTACAATTTACAGTCACGGCAAATATTAATATGTATTGTCGATATCTCCCACACTCCTCAGCTCCCATAGACATCGGGGTGGTTGACCTCCGGGTTGGGCGAGTGCTGACGTGTCAACCTCTGGGCGACAGTGAAAACCTGACCATACAGCAAGTGGACATTGGAGAGGCCACGCCCATCTCAGTGGTCACGGGCCTCAGGAAGCACGGGGTCACTATTGAACAGGTGAGGCCCGCTCGGCTGCCTGGTAGATCAGAGAGAAAGAAAGAAAGAAAGGAAGGAAGGAAGGAAGGAAGGAAGGAAGGAAGGAAGGAAGGAAGGAAGGAAGGAAAGAAGGAAGAAAGAAAGAAAGAAAGAAAGAAAGAATGAGCGACAAAGAAAGAAAAAAAAAGATAAAAGGAAGAACGAAAGAATGAGAGACAAAGAAAAAAAGAAAGAAAGTTAGAAAAAAAAAGAAAGAAAGAAAGAAAGAAAGGAAGAAAGAAAGAAAGAAAGGAAGAAAGAAAGAAAGAAAGAAGGAAGGAAGAAACAAACAGATTAACAAAACAAGGAATGAATGAAAGAAAGAAGAAAGGAAACTAAATACAAAGAAAAATATTTACCGGTTCCTGTAAAGTAATAATGGAATCTAATATGGTCGCTTTTAAGTACAAGCAGGCTAACCCAGATTTCGGGGGTTTCCAGAGATCTTGACCTACACCAAAAGTGGGCATTGCCCCACCTATCGGAGCAGTTTGGTTTCATTGGCGTGTGTATTTATTGGGTTATAAAGAAAACGTTCCTAGTCTTTTAAAGAAACTCAACAAGGGGCAAAAACTTTACCTTCGATTTTCTCAAAACAGCATATTTCGGGATGGCCCCCTTGTGTTTTAAGCGACCATATTTATTATATTATATTATACAGCATAATGATAATAATATAATCATTGTTTTCAATCCCACAGATACAAGGTCACCTGGGTGTGTTCTTGTGCAACGTGCGCCCAAAGAAAATCAAAGGTGTGCGCTCAGAAGCTATTCTCATGGTTGTGATGTCCTGGCAGAACCGCGCGGAGCTGCTTTTTGCGCCTCGAGACTCCGAGCCCGGGGATAAAGTTCAGGTGGAGGGATATACAACAGGTGAGTCCGACAGAAGACTAAAGCTGTCCCTGTCGTTTTTATTTAAGAAAAAATCTGAAATTATGCAAACTAAGCTCAAGAATGTGAAATTATGCGATTCTGTTAATTTTAACAAAGAATGATAAACGAAAATAATCAGAAATGATGCAAAAGAAGATCAAATTTTTCTAAATTACGCGGGGTGCGTAAAACCACGGGGACAGCTGCTAAAGGGCGCTAGGGTTGTGATATGGACTACAAAAAGGGTTCAGATCCCTGCAATGACTTTTCTGTTTAAAGTTCTTTGAACATTGAAAGTCTAGTAGATGTTCGTTGAAGGTGGTTTGTCTGTGAGTTTGTGTGTATATATGTGTGTGTGTATACATATGTGTATGGTTGAGTGTGTATGCGTATGTGTGTGTGTGTTTGTGTCTGTGTGTGTGTATGTATACGTATGTGTTTGTGTGCGAGTGTGAGTGTGG